ACTGGTCTTCATTCTTGATCTTTCATCCGTGCGAGGTGCCCGTGTGAGAGGGAGGGGCGGATTACTGGGAACCTGCCTGTGCAGGGCGAGCTGTTGAGGGTCTCGCCTCCAAACCTGCGACAGTGGTCACTCCGTTTGGATGTGTTTGGCAGCGTCGGTCCAAGCCCGCTGCATATCCCTTGGTCATGTGCTCAGCAGGGTGGGTGCATTTGGCCATGCATCTTCAGGTGGCAGGTCGGGACCCGAGTCGAGATTAGGCTGCACGGCGCAGGTGGTTTGGGGGCGGTGCATCTTGGTGCCACATGCAGTCAGCTTCCCGGGTGCTTGCACCGAGTCTGGGCCTCGGGCCCCTAACCCACCTTGCGCTTTGCAGCAAGGCTTTAAGAGCAGCCAGGGAGATAGTGGCGTTGACCTGAGCGCCGAGTCTCGGGAGTCGTCCGCCACCTCATCACAGCGCAGCTCGCCGTACGGCACTCTGAAGCCGGAAGAGATGAACGGGCCCGGCCTGGAGCCCAAGGCCGACGGCCACAAGGAACAGGCCCAGAAGCAGCCTGAACCAAAGGTGACCGGGCAGCCCCGTGCCCAGGGCTGGGGGCTGGCTGGGGGAGCGGGGAGGGCGTCGTCTTTTGTCCTCTGCCTCCATTCCCAGGCGCTTGGAAGCAACAGGCTGGAGTCGATCTAGTCTGTGTGTCTCAGCTTCTCTGCTTTTCTATCCAGGATGCAGAGCAAAGCTCAGGACAGAGCAAGGAGCACAGACCAGGACCCATTGGCAACGAGCGTTCTCTGAAAAACAGGAAGGGCTCCGAGGGGGCCGAGAGGCTGCAAGGGGCCGGCGCGCCCCCCGTCAACGGGGTGGAGATTCACGTGGACGCCGTGCTGCCCGTGCCGCCCATCGAATTTGGCGTCAGTCCGAAAGTGAGGCTCGGCTTTGTTTCCTGTCTTCTTGTTTCAGATTTTCTTTTTTGCGTTTGGAGGAGGAGGAGGGGCTTAGACAGGGTTTGTCCTCCAGAAAGAGCAAGGAGGTGGGAGACAAGCAGTGTTCAGGGGAGCATGTCAGCGGGCAGTCGGGGACGGGGAGGTGCTGGTGAGCTGCCTTC